GCCAAGATCGTTGTCGGCTTGGGTTAGTTCCGGTCCAGGCTCAACTTATTTTCTATGGCCTGGGCAGGCGGCATACAAGCAGCGGCGGAGGCAGCGGCAGAGGCAGCGGCAGATACACGAAACAGCCCTTAACGCGATTAGGGGTTGCATTTGCACATTCCTCTTAATAGTTGCAATTTTGGGGGTAATTGTTGAATATTTGCTTTGGAAACGCGTTCGTAGCAGTGCGTAAAATGGAGAAAGAAAAAAAAAACAGGAAAAAAGGGTGTGTGTTGTGCAGAGGGTCGAGGTCGCAGCAGACGTTCCATAAAGCATACCCCAGGCAAGTGTCAAAGTTCAACCCTTTTCGAAAAGCGTCCAAGCCGAAGGTGGACTCGAACCACCCTGCTGCCCAACTACGGCTGTAGCGCATTCGAGCCTCGGTACAGTTCGTGCATGTTCGATGGGTTCTCATTAATTCTCAAGAGGGTCGGCGGCAACAAAATTATATGACAGGGGTTGCCGAAATATTATGGGCAGGGTAGGCAACTAAAATCCAAAAAACATATATTGTGTTTTGTTTCCTTTTCTTTTCTTTCTTTCTTTTTTTTTTTTTGATCTTGATTTGGTTTTGATATTATTGGGCACATTGATATGTTTTTTGGATTTAGTTTGTGTGATTGGGAAAATTTTGAAAAAATTTAAATTAATATTAACATAAAAGATTAATATATTATATACACAGTGAAAGCTCTCATAATGGAGAACTCCAGTAGCCGGATCAATTTCGTAAGCTTTTCATTATTTTGTCCCATTCCCATAACCGGACATCGCCCATAACCGGACTAAAACACAGCATCAATGTGCGTCCGCTTATAGGAGCTTTTACTGTAGCGCAGTTGTATTCCCATTCCCAGCTTATCGTGAAGATTTGCCCAATTTAATCTGCCGATGAAAAGTGCATTTGAATACTTGGAAATGTAGGGTATAGTACAAATGACTTATAGTATCAGCTCAGTAGTTCACACTGTAGCATAAAGCCCTGCTTTCTCCCTGTTACATCTATTAGGTTAACAGAGCTATAAAACTATTCCATCAAGCGCATACAATTGTCACCCTGACCGAAGCTGAATTCAATGAAAAAAAAACTGGAACAGCATTGAACCTGGGCGTGCACTGTGCGTGCGTGCGGCCGCAACGACTGCGTGTGTGCGCCACACAGGAGCTGAGAGGACACTTTTCTGTGCTGCCAAGGGTGAGTTGATCACTTGGTTATTGAATGTGTGTGTAGGTTGAAATACGAGAGGTTAATAAGCAGCAGCAAATGTGTTGACAAGAAAATCACACACATGTACATGAATTCGCGCATGATGTCGGCATTGGGAGAGTTTGTAGAGTCTATTGAGTGCTGAGAGAGTAGGCTAGCGGATTTATAGATCAAAGATTCGTCCAGTTCGAACTAGCGGAACAGTTGACGTTGAGCTGACCACGCCTAAGAGCGGAAGGGCAAAAACAAAGCGAAGCAACAATCAGCAACCCATTTTGATAGTTGAATCAACTCACACACACACACACTTACACACACGCTCACATATATATACATGCGCAAAGCAATCTCACACGCCCCAAATGGCACCCCAGTCGGGCTGTGGTATGTCTGTTTGTGTGTATGCAGATCTTGATAATTCCGAGGTTTTTTTTTTCAAAAATGGTGAAGGAAATTCTAACGATAACAATGCCAACGCTAATGTGTATGAGTGTGAGGCAATTACAACACACACATATACACGCGCGCGCGCTCAACGCTAATGAGCGCAAGTGAGCCAGCGTGCGAGAGAGCGAGAGCGCACTAAACTAAATTGTATTCAGTGGAAAAAAGCACGCGCAAAGCAATTTACGCTGATTATACATTTGTCATTTTTGTACAAAATATACAAAAGCGCACAGCACACACACATAACCACTAACACTGACACACGTTCATGCTGACACGTTGGACACACACTCGTGCGCTCGCTCACACTGCGGCGCCAACGACAACGACCCCCCAACCAGCGCCAACAACAATAGCAACACCAACTACAGTCAGACCCAACGAGTTTGAGTTCATAATTCGAAACGTATCAAAAAAAAAGAGCGCATGCTCCGCATGGCTTTTTGTACAGTTGAATAAGACACAAGAAGAAGAGGCGCGCCACTAATAAGAAAAAACTACATACGTACAGAAAAATACAACAACAAAAAAATACAAAAAGTCCAACCATAAAAAAATCCAATACACACAAACTGCCCAGCCAAAGATGAAGCCGGATCAGCGCGCACACACACACACACACACACACACACACGAATAAACGGGCCGCAATCAAAAACCAAATAAAAGGCATAATAGAGAAGAGAGAAACAGCAGGCAAAAACACTTAACAAGCGTAAAAATAATATGGCGGCAGCAGCAGCAACAAAAACGAAGCAAACGAACGAAACACCAAAATGTTTCGTGCCATCGTTCGTTTCAAGCAACGAGCCTCACATCACACAACATCAACGTTGCCTGTCATTGCCAGCAGTGGCCCAAAAGCAAAAACAACAGCAACGGGAGTCGAACACACAGGCATACATATATCGATGAACATTTGTGAACGTCGACTACAAGAACAGCCCAAAGCGGCGTACACAGATACAAACAGTTATACGGGGCAGCACACACAGTCAAACAACAAAATGAAAAATGGAATGCTAAAGCGTCGGCCAAGGCACACTGGTGCAAGACTGATATATTTGTGCGTTTGCAATTTATTAAGTATACGGTGGGGTTTTTGTTATGAATATGTATTTTTATAAACTATATAAATATCAATTTAAAGATACTGATAGAAAATTATTGAATTGTTTTTTGAAAAAAATTTAATTTGTTTTAATTAAATTTTAACTAACTAGAAACAAATGTTTTTATTTTTGGGAGTGCATGACAAATCATGTTGGTTCCCTCAAAGCAGACATATTAATTGTTGATATTTGTTACTTACTAATAATAAGTGTTTATAATTATATATAAAATGTTTATAATATGGTTAACATGTGGACAAAATATTTGTTAGTTTTTTTCTCTTTTTGTTTCTGTATATTACATCTAGATGTAGATTTGTGCATACGGCAAGAACTGCTCACCACTGTGCAAACGCTGCTTGAATATCAACAACAACACAAAACCATGGTAACTGCAACAAAAAAATCCGCAAGAGTGCTAAAACAACGGGTGCCATCAGTCACAATCATATCCAAGCAAAACGCGTAGCATTACAAATGAAAATGTCGAAACGACAAAAGCAGCAGAAACAACAACAACAAAGAAAAATGAAACGAAAAAAAAATGCAATTCAAATAATCATATTGCAACGCAGACCACTGTACGACCGAGCGAGCAAGCGAAAGCGAACGATTGCCTCTTTGCGCTATACCCGTGGAACCCCACCATCCCGATGCCATCAACGGTCCCGGCTGAGGCCGACAAGCAAAACTAATAATAAAATAAAGCCGCTGTCGTTTGCTAGTCAGCTCAGGTATGTATGTATGCATGTATGTATGAGTGTATGCGATGGTGGTGGTGGTGGCAAATGCGAAATCGAAAAAAGAAGATGAAGTATAGCAAGCAAGCCAGCAGTAGTAGCAACAACGGCAACGGCAACAGCAACAACAACCACGACGAAGCGACATTCAAGTATACAGACACAGAAAACTGGTCTTACGTTCAACGACGAGGGCGGCAGTGCCAAGGCAGCGGGCAGGGTGGTTGACAGCGCTCATACACACGCACACAAGTACTGACACACATATATAAATACATACACATGTATGGATGGATGAATGCGACACAACGGGCGCGAAAGCAAAAGCAAATACAATACACATGCCCGCCAGCTGTGTAGCCTCGTTTTTTTCTTTTTTTTTGTTCGCGTACATTTTTTCTTTCGTTCGCACACACCCCCAAAGCGCACACAACAAAACGCTACGAACAGCGAGTTGTCGGGCTATTGCTGTTGCACTCGCACTCGACGGTCACGGCATGTTACTGGCTATTGGCATTGCACTCGCACGCCCGCATTTGTTATAGAGAAATGTTATGATGTGCTTGTGTGCATATGTGTTTGTGTGTGTGAGGAAACTCGTTTTCCTCATTCAGCTGCCTGCCAACCCTCCTAAGCTAACACACACGCACACACACATTTACCAATACACATGCGCGCTGCTGCTTCATTTTGTTTCGGCAGAGTTGCCGCCGCCTGCGCGCGTTTCAGTCTGAATTTCAACTTGGGAGCGTACGGTTTGTGTTTTGTCGACCTCAAAAACGTTCGCTCGCTCGCGCCGATCTGCCCAAACACCAGTCGAGATACAAGATACAACGCGACGCGCTGCGCACACATATACACATACACGCATGTGTGAATAAAGACAAATCGAAAAATTAACAGCTGGATTTTTTAATATTTTTTTGTGTTAAAAGTTTGCAAGTTAAACAAACAACAAACAAATCCAACAACAAATACACAAGATACATGCTGCAAAGTGAAAAGTTATGCTGCTGCCGTCGCAGTCGCAGTCGCTGCCGACGCGCGCAGTGAATTTGTGTGCCGCCTAACAAAAATTATGTTGCTAGAGTTGTCGCCGCGTTTTATGTAAGCCGAAAGCAGACCCAAAGCAAAAACCCCGCCAATCTACCGCCCCCTAGCCCTCCACGCCCCTTAAGCGCCCACGCTAATCACGTGTACAGGTGCTTGGCCAATGCAGCATTAAAATACAGCTGAAAAATTGAAAAATTAAAGAAAACAAGAATGAATTAAAAGTGAAATAAAGCAGGCACTGCATTAATTGTGAGCCATCGTCGACGCAGCCGCTGCAGCGAGTGGAGTATGTACTAATTATTGCTCTCGTGCACGAAACGCTCATTTACACGCCTCAGTCGCAGTCGCAGTCTCAGACAGCGAACACACACAGACATACAATATATGTATATATATATACATAATCACACGTACACGCACACACACAACGACGCTGACACTGAGACTGACGCTCGGCGAGACATTTTTTTGTGTACATTTTTGTATGTTTTCATATTGTTGTTGTTTGCAACAAAGTTTTACGTTTACGTTTTTTGCCTGTTTATTGTATATAAATGTAAATGTATATGTTTATTGCCTGTCTCGTATACGTTTGTGTGTGTGTTCTTACCTCGTATTTGTTATATCTACCAAACTACCAGTAACAACAAAAAAAAGGAAAGAAAAAAGCAACAAAATAAAACAAAATAACAAAAACGCAGCAGCAGCAGCAATATGCTGCCAACAACAATAAAAACAATCAGCAGTCGCAACAGCAGCCGCAGAGCAGCCGCAGTCGCAGTCGTCGTCGCAGTAACAGCAAACAACAGAACATCGCTGCCGTCGTCGTCGTCGTCGCTGCTGCCGTCGCCGCCGCTGACGTCGCCGCATGCATACTATTAATTTATTATACAAATTGTTTTTATTTTGAATAATGGATCGTCGTGCATTGAAGTTTATGCAAAAAAGGTATTTTGTTTGTTTTTGTTTTTTGTTTGTTTTGTTTCGTTATCTTTTAGTTTTTAAAATACAACATTTCATTTGCAAACTGACCGAAGCCACTGTTAACAGCATACAACATATACATACGCGTGTGTATGTGTATTTGCATATGTGTGTCAATGCACTCGCGTTTATTATTACTAATGTTATTTCTCCTTTTTTCTGCCGCTGTCACACACGCACACTAACTTCTTGATCTCTCTCTCTCTCTCTCTCACTTTGCGCTTCTACTTCTATATTTGTTATTATTACATCGTAACCGCGTCTCAGGTTCGCTTCAAGTGTGACCCTCGCAGCGCAAGAAATATTCTTATGCTGTGCACACACTGGATTTGTTTTCCATTCGTTTTTCAGGCTACATTGTTTTTGTTCTGACTATTTCTCTTGAATTTAATTTTTCCGTTTTTCGTTTTTAATAGATGTTCATAATTGCAGCGTTGCCTTTGGCGCGCAGTTCAACTGAGCAGCGTTTTACAACACTGCTGCAGATGACAAATGTGTACAAATTCAATACAAATGCATGTGTGTGTTTATGTGTATATATGTATATATATCTGCGTGCCGTTTCTGTTTGACGTACCATCATAATCATACTTGTACTTGAAACGCTCTCCTTTAGTTGAAACAAGCAAAAATCCCAAAACGAGTTTTTTGTTGCCCCATCTGCTCAGCTCTTGCAGTGTTGATAAAACACTGCAGGCTCAGGCAAACACATACATATATACACTCGCAGCAAATTTCGCAATGTATACACACCGCGTATGTGTGTGTGCGTGTGCGTGTGTTTGTAAATTTGTTGGTGGTTGATTTTCTTTTACTTTTCGCAGCATTGAAAAGCAAAAGTTCTAAGCCAAAAGTAACATTTTTTTGCCGAAACCGAAACTGCAGTCGGCATTAAGCAGCGGGAGCACCGCACCAGAAGAAGACGAAGAAGAAGAACAAGAAACAGCCAACACTAGCAACACAACAACAGTCCGTGGAGCGCATTAGCTCTCTCTGTCGCGCGCGCGTGGGCTCCCATAGCCCGAAGTAAACAAAATTTGAGGCGCGTTGTAGTGTTGCCATCAGGCCAAAAAGTTTTCTCTACTAAATATAAACAATGTACTTTAATTTGTTGTATTTTAACATTGCTTCTCTATGAAATTTAATCGGCTATGAAAAAAATATTTGCATGCCTTTGAACTCATAGTTTTCAAATAAAAGTTTAATTTGGCTTTTTTTTTTTACATATTTGCTTATGATTTGATATACATATGTGTTTGTGCATTCAATTTGCTGTCTGTTGGCAACTCTACACTGACACCAACTTATGCTCATTCTCTCATGCATTTGGCACATTCGTGTGTGTTTTCAGCTACGCTCGTCATTTGACCAAGCAACCAGTGCCATCTCGCTCACACTTACTCATTTGCCATACAGCAGCAACAAGGGCGACATTACCGTGCACTCAATTGTATCTTTATATTCGCATTCGTATTTTAATGTGTGTGTGTGTTGCTGTTGGTAGCTGCGGCCTGGCATGCAGAAATGAAACCCGTTCGTATAATCAATATGTACTCATCTATTTTCGTCTTGTACCCGCCACCCCCTACCGCGTGTACAGGTTTAATGCCCCATCAACCACCAAACGTAATTTTGCACGCATGTTTCTCGCAAGAATTTTAATTTTATGTTCTATTTTGTTGCTGTTGTTGTTTTTGTCGCTCTCACCTGCATGCTAGCTGCGCGCGTTCTCCCTAGCTCTGTCTCTCTCTTACCCACTCACACATAAATTTTTTTTCTTACTTTTTGCTAGCTCATTTGAGCGCATGCTCGTTCTGTTTGCGTCGTCGGCATTGTTATCAATCTTCGTGCAACTCAATTTGGTTAGAAGCGAACATAAAATTGGTGATGGCTGTGCGGCATTATTATTACTGCTTTTGTTATTGTTGGGTTGTTAATGGCACTGACGCTCCCCACAGGCTGTCTCAGCAGCGACCTGGCAAAACCACTCAACGATTCAGGCTCTCACTCTCTCTTCCTCTCCCATACACAATCACTCACACACGCACACACATACACACACACACACACAGGCACGCACACACGAAATCAAGCATCAAACCAGTCTTGAGCTGCAAGTTTTTTCTTTTCTCTTCTGACAATGAGAAGGATGATTCTGCTGCTGCTGGTCTGCTGCGTCTGGCACAGCGTCTAGTCGTCAGTTTTTTTTTTCCTTTTTATGTATTCCGTTCCACCAGCTTTCGCTTACTCTTTGCCGTTTGCGGTGCGCTTCGGTGGGGGCGTGCGACCTTAGCATACCCAGCAGCAACCCTGACGCATGCATGAAACACCCCTGACCGATTTCATGGCTTGCCAAAACCGCCCACTGCTGCGGCCACCTTCAACTCCACCAGTTCGCCCCTGTCCCTCCCTCATTGCTTGTGCAGTCCTGTTGCCAGGGGTAACCCTAATGCTGTGCCGGCTCTAATAACCTCTGCACAGTTTCGCTTGTAGCTTTTTCTTTTATATGTTTTATATGCCTCACGGGCATTACGGGGGCGGCTGTGGGGTATTTGGTGAGACTGTGGCAGCGTCAGGAATTGGTCTTGCTGCTGTTAGCTTGTGAAATTTAAAACTAAACATTGCGGGTTTTTATGTCTCGTTTTGTTTTTTTTTTTTTTTTTTTTGTAGTGGCAACTGTCAGTTTTCGACAGTTTTTATTTTCGGGTCTCTGAACTGAAGTTTGGCAACGTCGGATAAAGTTAGTTAATAACTTTTTCTTTTAGCTGCCTTGATTTGTACACTCAGAAGTACTTCCAATTTTGATTATGTGCATATATAAATTATTTTTAAATTGTTTTTTAATTCTAACTGACTACCACATTGTCTATTTTAACCAAAATATCAATTTTGCGTATGCACCTGAAGAGAATTATCTTTTAGTTCTTGGGACTTCGCTTAACAACAGTTGAATTGCCCTTCCTTTACTTTAACTGGCTGCTAGGTTGCCAATCTTCACACTGACACAATTGCATTTATGTACTTTGTTTAATTTTTTCCAGTTGGTAACTTGCATATGTATTGAGCTGCATGAGTCCTAAACAACGGTAACTGCACAATGCAGCTCTCTCACTCTCGCTTTCTCTCTTTCCCTCACTCTCTCCCGGTAAGCTTGTTCAGCTGTACGCCACTCCCACGCAGCTCGTCTAACTGCATCTCTCGTTCGCCTGCAACTCCTTCTGAATGTTTATAGTTTACAATTGACGTCAATAGAGAAGCACATGCACACACATGCGAAAAAGGAAGATGTATATGGATGTGTATGAGTGCATTTACATGCATATGTGTATGTGTTGTCTGGGACTTTTTAGTGCAGCCTCCACATAATTTTTAAATGACCTCCTTCGTTAGCATTAGTTACTCGCGCGCGTGTGTATGTGTGTGTGCACATTGATATAAATGAGCCACATTTACGGTTATGTGGGTCAATGATAGCTGCTTTAACGACCCCAAAAAACTTCACATGCTGCATAATAAGGCACCAGATCGAAGTTGAGGTCTATCGAAGCGGGGTTCGTGTTGAAAGCTAGTCGCAAGAAAGGACGTTTATTGATTGAAATTTAATACCAGGCAGGTTGAAGTCAACATATGTTTATCGGAACTGTTTTCGATATTAAAAATAATTGAAAAAAAAATGAAAAACTTAAAAAAAAAACTTGTTAAAAATCATCTCAAGTTAAAATCTGTTTGCCCGAACCGTCGTTTTGCAATCTTTAAACTTTAATAAAATATTTACTTAAATTTTCGAACTATGATTTATGTGATTTAAATGTAGATCCGAAAAGCATTGAAATATAACAGCTGAAAGATTAAGAAACATGTAATTAAAGTTTAGTTTTTTTAAATTTGTTAAGTTTTTTTTTTTTTTTACGTTTATCAGTAAAATATATGACACTTCGTGCATATCATGCATATTATTATTGGTTAGTATTTTGTATTAAAAATAATTCATAAATTTAAAACTGTTTAAAAATATTCGTTTACAAAAGCTTAAAACGGTTTCTTTTTCTTCCATATGTAAACACTTGCACATGAGATTGTGAATGATCTTTGCATTTGACTCTCGCTGCAGGCTCAGCACAGAGCGAGCTTTTTCTTTTCTTTTACTGTGTGAGAGAGAGAGAGAGAGAGAGAGAGCATGCATCGCCCACGCTTTGAGCTTTTTTTTTTATATTTATTTTTTTGCACTTCTTTCTGGTCTTTTGCATGCAAATGGCGGGTGCTGCCAACCTGTTTGTGCATTTCGCAGTGCTTTTGCTCTGCTCTTTGGCATTGCTTTTGCTCGTTGCTTTGCGTGCTTTATTTATTTATTATTATTTTTTTTTTTCGTTTCGCTGTGCAAATGTTTGGCCAAAATGTTGCATGCCGCACGCCGTCGCAAATATTCCAAGTGTGTGTGTGTGTATGTGTGTGTATATGTGTGTGTTTGTGTGTGTGTGTTGTGCGCCTTTTGATTTGTTTTAACTAATTCATTTGCCCAATTTCTCTTTCCAATGCAGAGCGGACACTGAAAGCGATACAACAACAACAACAACAAACACATTAACAGCAACATCAACAGCAACAACATTAGCAGCAGCATCAGCAGCAGCAACAACAATTTTAACAACAGCAACAACGACAACAACAACAACTGCGCTTCCATTAAAAGACAACTCGAATATACGAGGCAGCAGCAGCAGCAGCGGCAGCGACAAGTTGCAAACAGCAACGCAGCAGCTACAACAGCAACACAAGCAGCAGCAGCAACAACAACAGCAGCAACAGCAGCAGCAGCAGCAACAGCAGCAACAACAACATATTGTCAGCGTTGAGCGGCCCTTGAAGTGCCTGGAGACGTTGGCCCAAAAGGCGGGCATTACCTTTGACGAGAAATACGATTTTGCCAGTCCGCCGCATCCGGGCATTGGCGCCCATACGCCCACGCACAACAACAACAACAACAACAACAATAATAATAATAATAATAACAATAATAACAACAATAATAACAATAATAACAACAACAACACGCAGTTGAACAACAACAATCACGTTAAAAACGTTACGCCCACATCAATTGCAACAAGCACTGCGCAGACGCCGCCCTCAGCGCGACGCACAGCAGCAGCAACAACAGCACCAACAACAGCAGCAGCAGCAGCAGCAACCACTCCCAACAGCTCAGCGCGTTCACGTAGCGTCTCACGTTCGCGCTCGCGGTCGAGCACGCCCACCTCACGCACAGCAGCAGCTACAGCAGCAGCCGTAGCAGCAGCAGCAGCAGCAGCAGCAGCAGTTGTTGGCGGCACGCTGGAGAAATCACAGAGCCCCGCCCAACAGGTGGCATCCGCTGCGGCGGTGCCACTGCAAATCTCACCGGAGCAACTGCAGCAATTCTATGCGAGCAATCCGTATGCGGCCATCCAGGTCAAGCAGGAGTTTCCCACACATAATGCTGGCAACAGCGGCGGCGGCGCTGGCGGCAACAACAGCAACACCAACGAGCTGAAGCATGCAACCGGCCTGCTGGACGCCAACCAAACGACACAGCTGCAACAGTTGCAGCTGCAACAGCTGACCGCCGGCGATGGCAGCGCAGCGGCTGCTGCTGCCGCCGTTGCCGCCGCCGCTGCAGCCGGCAGTCCAGCGGCAGCGCAACAGAATGCGCTCCAACAGCAGGCGGCAGTAGTCGCGGCCCAGCAGCAGCAACAGCAGCAGCAGCAGCAACATCAGCAACAACAGCAGCAACAGCAGGCCGCACAGCAGCAACACTCGACAGCAATTAGCACCATGTCGCCGATGCAACTGGCCGCTGCCACCGGCGGAGTGCCCGCCGACTGGGCCAATGGACGCACCGTGCAGCTGATGCAGCCATCGACCGGCTTCATATATCCACATCTGTCCATTGTCTCCGGAAATCTGCTGCCCGCCGCGCTGGGCCAGCAGCCCATACAGGTGATTGCCGCCGGCAAGCACTTCCAGGGCAGCGCGCCGCAAATGATAACGACGACCACGCAGAACACCAAGCAAATGATTGGCGGGCAGGCGGGCTTCGCCAGCGGCACCTATACGATACCCTCGAGCCAGTCGCCGCAGACGCTGCTCATATCGCCGGTAAATGTGATATCGCATTCGCCGCAGCAGCAGAGTCTTCTGCACTCGATGGCGGCGGCGGCGGCGCAGCAGCAGCAGCAACAACAGCAGCAACAACAACAACAACAGCAACAACAGCAGCAGCAGCAGCAACAGCAGCAACAGCAATTGACACAGCAGCAACAGCAACTGACGGCTGCAGCTGCGGCCCAACAAGCGCTGGCTGTCAGCGCCTCCAAGGTGGGCGTCGGCGTCGGCGATGGGCAGGCCAAGCTGCAGCAGAAGGTCGTCCAGAAGGTGACAACCACAACGAACACGGTGCAGGCGGCGAGCGGTGCTGCTGCTGGCGGCGGCGTTGTCGCCCAGGCTCAACAGCAGCAGCAACAGCAGACGACCACACAGCAGTGCGTCCAGGTCTCGCAGTCAACCCTGCCGAGCGTGACGGCCGCCCAGGCGGCCCAGTTGATTAGCCCGCTGCAGGGCACCGCCACCGGGCAGCCGCAGCAGATGCAGCTCGCTCCCTGGTTTTGGCAAAATTTCGGAGGCAGTCCGATCATCTTGCGTGGCCAGCCGGATCATACGTCCGGCATGTTCATCCAGCAGCCGACCCATCAGGCCCTGCAAACCCAACAGAATCGTGAGTAAATGCAGTTCAAAGGCCGAGCTCACGACACGAACTAGTTGCTAGCAGCTCACTGAACCAGTTCCAAGCTGTTTTCCACTTGAAGAAAACTAAAGCAAGAAAAAAAAACATATATTATATGATACGCAGGTCTGATCGGAAGGGAAGACGAACCTATGAAAAGTTTTATGAGTTTAGTCGTAGAATTGAGTGAGAAATAGACAGACAGCAGGGATGTTAGGTTGGTAGCAGGGTATCTCTCAGTCGGATACTCCCGACTAGAACCTTTGCTTTGCTTTGTTTGTTTTATGTTATACAGACAATATTGAATAACTTTAGAGGTTTATCTAGAAACCACTGCCGTGAACGACTCTGCATCATTCTGGTTCATTTAGTTCCAGGCGTGAACTAGTTACTTTATAAAAGTAATTCAAATAGCTAAGCAATTTTAAAAAGAAAGTTCTTAAGGTTGAGAGATTTATTCAGGTTGATTTAGTTCCAGCCGTGAACTAGTTACTTTATAAAGGTAATTTAAATAGCTAAGCAATTTTTAAAAGAATGTCCTTAAGGTTGAGAGATTCATTCTGGTTCAGTTAGTTCCAGGCGTGATCTAGTTACTTTATAAAGAAAGTTCTAATAGCGAAGCAAATTTTTAAGGTAAAGATTCATTATGGTTCATTTACTTCCAGGCGAGAACTAGTTACTTTATAAAGGAAATTCAAACAGCAAAGCAATTTTAAAAAGAATGTTCTTAAGGTTGAGAGATTCATTCTGGTTCATTAAGTGCCGGGCGTGAACTAGTTACTGTTAAATAGAAAGAAAGAGCTGCGACTTTTGAGTGTTGTTCAGCACTAGCAACAGTTCGTGTCGTGTCACGCGCCCATCTCTAGCAGCAACAAACTTATCGTTTGTTTTTTTTTTATTCGCCTGCATCCACAGAAATCATTCAGTGCAATGTGACGCAGACGCCGACCAAGGCGCGCGCTCAGCTGGACGCGCTGGCGCCGAAGCAACAGACGCAGCAACAGGCGAATGCACAGCAGCAGCAACAGCAGCAGCAGCAGCAGCAGCAACAGGCGCAGCAGCAGCAGGCGGTGGCGGTGGCAACCGCGCAGCTGCAGCAGCAGCAACAACAGCTGACGGCACAGCTGCAGCGCACCGGTGCTCCCATCTTGCCGCACAATGGGGCTCAGGTGCGGCCCGCCAGCTCCGTGTCCACACAGACGGCGCAGAACCAGAGCCTGCTTAAGGCGAAGATGCGCAACAAACAGCAGCCAGTGCGGCCGGCGCTGCCAACGCTCAAAATGGAGAATGGACAGGCGGGCGGTGGCAAGGCCACGGGCAATGCGGCAACGACGCTCAGTCAACATATCGCCGTGCAGCAGCAGCAGCAACAGCAACAGCAGCAACAGCAACAGCAGGCGGCGGCAGCAGCGGCTGCGGCAAATCTGCACCAGGTGGTCACCACGGCGGGCAACAAGTAGGTGGTGAAATTGTGCGTGTGGCTCCAGATACTTACAATTGCTTCTCTCCCTCTCTCTCTTTCTCTCTCGCGCTTGCAGAATGGTGGTCATGAGCACCTCGGGCACGCCGATAACGCTGCAGAATGGGCAAACGTTGCAGACGGGCGGCGTGGATAAGCAGCAGCAGCAGCAACAGCAACAGCAGCAGCAGCAACAGTTGCAGCTAATGAAGAGCCAACAATTGCTGCAACAGCAAATGCTGCAGCATCATTTATTGCAATTGCAACAGCAACAACAGCAGCAGCAGCAGCAGCAACAGCAACAGCCGCAGCAAGCGCAACAGCAGCAGACGCTGACAAATGCGACCGCTCAGCAAATATTGCAGGTAGCGCCGAATACGTTTATAGCCTCGCAGCAGCAGCAACAAGCGCAGCAGCAGCAGATGCATAATCAATTGCTGCAGCATCAGTTGCAGCAACAGCAGCAACAGGCACAGCAGCAACAGCAGCGCGAACAACAGAATATTATACAGCAAATTGTGGTGCAACAAACGGCCACGCAACAGCACCAGCAGCAGCAGCATCATCAGCAGCAGCAACAGCAGCAGCAACAGCAACAACAGCAGCAGCAGCAGCAGCAGCAACAACAACAGGCACAGCAGCAGCAGGCGCAACAGCAACAATTGCAGCTGAGCAGCGTGCCCTTCTCAGTTAGCTCGACAACAACGCCCGCTGGCATTGCCACCTCCAGCGCACTGCAGGCCGCATTGTCCGCCTCTGGTGCTGTCTTCCAGACAACCACCAAGACGAGCACCTCGCTGCCCAGCAGCAGCGTGGTGACCATCAGCAATCAAAGCGCCGGGCCGCTGGTCACGAGCAGCACTGTAGCCAGTCTGCAGCAGCAGGCGCAACAATTGCAGCAGCAGCAGCAACAGCAGCTTATAACGGCCAGCATAGCGGCTGCCACACAGCAGCAGCAACAGCAACAGCAGCAACAGCAGCAACAACAGCAGCAACAACAGCAGCAACAACAGCAGCAGGCGCAGCAACAGGCGCAGCAACAGGCGCAGCAGCAGGCGCAGCAGCAGCAGGCGCAGCAACAGGCACAGCAACAGCAGGCGCAGCAACAGGCACAGCAACAGGCGCAGCAGCAGGCACAGCAGCAGCACGCACAGCAGCAGCAGCAACAGGCGCAACAGCAATTGTCCAGCAGCACGTTAACTGCTGCGTCGCCCACACAGAATCCCATATTGGCCATGACGTCCATGATGAATGCGACGGTTGGCTTGCCGGCAACAACGCCGCCCGTGAGCAGCGCTGTGGTTAGCACGGCGCTTGTGACGCTCAGCAATAGCATAAGCTCGCTGCCAGCCACGCCTACCAAGGCAATTACCATGAGTACGGCCAGCAGCCAGGAGACGCCCAAACAGCAGCAGCATCAGCAGCAGCAGACGGCGACGGCGGCGACAACGACTACGACAACAGCATCTTTAGTGACAATTGAGTCGGCCGCTTTGCAGGATGCCAGCAAGGCCAACGCGGAGGCAAGCAGCTCCACGGCAGGCGCAGCAGAGACGCTGCACAACGGTGATGTGGGTGAGGCAACGCCCACAAAGCTGACAGCAACGGCAACACCAACAGTTGCAGCTGCTGCAGTCAAGCAAAGCAATGCTGTGTTGCCTAGCAGCAGCAGCGGCGGCAGCGGCGGCAAAGATGACAACAGCAATGTGAAGAACAGCAGCAGCAGCGTTAGCAGCACAGCGTCCACCAATGGCATTGCGAGCAGCGCGTTGCGTAACAGCAGCAGCAGCAGCAGTGCAACAACGACTACAACAACAACAACCACCAGCAGCAACAACAACAGCAGCAGCAACACCAGCAGCAGCAATGGCAAGGATCTGCCCAAGGCCATGATCAAGCCAAATGTGCTGACCCATGTCATCGATGGCTTCATTATACAGGAGGCCAACGAACCATTTCCGGTGACACGGCAACGCTATGCGGACAAGGATGCCAACGATGAGCCGCCCAGTAAGTGCACACAGCCAAATGAAGGCAAATCCAAAACTTATGCTAAATCATATTTTGCAGAGAAAAAAGCAGCCATGCAGGAGTCGGATCTCAAGGCGGGCGCAACAGCAAGCACGTCGACAACAACAACAACACCAACAGCGAGCTCTGCAACAGCAACTGCTGCTGGCATGGCTGGCGGGGCGCTGGTCAGCGTGGCCACACTGCCGGCGGATATGGTTGCCTGCGAGCAATGCGGCAAGCCGGAGCATCGCAGCAAGCTGAAGCGCAAGCGTTATTGTTCGCCGGGCTGTGCACGTCTGGCGAAGATGGGCGGCAGCAACAGCAGCAACGGCAGCGCCGTGGGCATGGTCGCCGCTGATGCATTAGCACTGGCGGACAAGCTGGACGAATCGCTGGCCGAGGAGAAAATGCAAACGGACGCCCTGAGCCCCGAGCCGGCCATGATTATAGCTGAGCTGCCGTCGGCCGTGCTGGCAGCGGCAACAGCCACGGCAACAATTGCAGCTGCAGTGACAGCAGTGCCAGCAGCCACGCCCACCAGTAGCAGCAACAGCAACAGCAGCAATGTCAGCGCCGCTGTCGTTGCTGTGGAGCGTCCCTCGATCTGCAGCTGGAGCGTGGATGAGGTCAGCGAGTTTATACGCAAGCTGCCCGGCTGTCAGGATTATGTGGATGATTTTGTGCAGCAGGAGATCGATGGACAGGCGCTGCTGCTGCTCAAGGAGAATCATTTGGTGAATGCGATGGGCATGAAGCTGGGACCGGCGCTCAAAATTGTCGCCAAAGTCGAGTCCATGAAGGAGGTGAATCTGGCCCCGGCGGCAGTTAACGATGGTGCCAAGGAAACGGCCAATGCCGCGCAATAGTGCATAACCAGAGCAAGGGATAGTTGCGTTAGCCGCCCCCGCCGCCGCCGCAGCAGCAGCAGCAGCAGCAGAAGCAGCAGCAGCTCCTCCTCTGGCAGCCGTAGCGCGCCTCTGTCGCCCGCCTATTCCATAACCCCGCCGCTGTACTCGCCCGTGCTGCGCAGCAAATAGGCGCCACAAAATGCTGGTCTAACCAGCTTCAAGTGGAGTGGCGTTCATTGTGAATGTGATTCACAGCAGCTAATGTTAACCGCCCGCTACACACCTAGGAGCACCGCATCCTGCCCCAACACTCACACACTCACACAAACACACACACCACCCAACCCCTTGCTAGCCATTCCCTAAACCCAACCCCAAGCTCGCAGCTGTAGTTGTAGTCTGTACGTAATTTTAATGTAGCTTAAAATTTGTAAGGCCAATTGTATGATAATGATTGAAAACTCCATCTAATGTTAGCAACCCCAAAGCCTACACCCGCTTAACTCTCGAAACCCCCTGCCCCTGACCCTGCCCCTGACCCTGCCCCTGACCCCTCTAGTGTTAGGTCTATATAAACCTTATATAGTATATTTGTAAGGCCTCCATCAATTGTACAATTTGAAGCATAAACTTTCTAAACGTTTACAGTGCTCTACATATACATATATTCACTCACATTTAAATATTAAACGAAACGGCCCTTCCCCGCCCTTCCAAGGAAAAAGGACAGCAAAATACTAATTAAATAATGCTACTATTAAATACTAAGGCAAATTTTAGTGTTTAAGTCTTAACTGAATTGAAAATAACGAAATACAATTAGTTTTTGCATATAGTATTTTTTTTTTGTCAATCATCAACAGCAATATGCAAATGCAATATGCAAATTTTAAAGAAGTGAAAAAGAACTAGTTAATATCTAAATATAACTATTATATACATACTTACATTTATATATATACATTAACTATGATTATATCCAAATTTTTTTTTTTGCTATGCGTAATTTTTATATATTACACATATAAAATACGAATTGGTTCTTGAGCCATGCTATTTTCCATCACGCTAGAGAGAGTTAAACCGGTTGAAATCTGTCGAACCAACTACTGAAACTATATATATATGCTATATATAACTGATTTATGTAGCTGATTACAACAACTACCACACACACACACACACACAATCTTTTTGCTAACGAAATGATTAATGAAACTAATTGATTATATATTATATAGTATAGCATATATACATATTTTTTTTTATAATGCTTAGTTTTAAGCGTCGAACATATATATATTATATATTTTTTTTTTCGGAATTGATTTTTTTTTTATCGCTATGGCTGAACAAAAACAAAACTTCACTGTATAGTGTTTAATAAATGTGAATATGGAAAGTTTTTGCTGTATCTTTTTTTCCCCTAGTTGGATGAAAATAAAAACAAATGGACATACTTTATAGCAGGCGCGAGAAGCGCAGAGAAAGGCGACCAGATAGACCGAAAGTCGGCAGTGTAATATATATAATGCATATATAGTACGAACAAGTGTAGACAAAACGGAGAAGCGATTTGCTCCGGGCAATGCTACGTGGTAGGTGCAAGAAACTGAGAGAGAAGCTGCTATTGGTACTATTTCATATCAGAGTGGACGTGAGAAGCGAAGAGAGAAGCACCAGACGTGAGAAGCAATGCTACAATTTTACGTGAGATGTAAGCCGAGAACTGTAAGCTAACAATATGAGAGACAATGAGAGAGAGAGAGAGAGGGAGAGAGAGAGAGAAGGAGAGAGAGAGAGAAGGAGAGAGAGAGAGAAGGAGAGAGAGAGAGGGAGAGAGAGAGAGAGGGAGAGAGAGAGAGGGAGAGAGAGGGAGAGAGAGAGAGAGAGGGAGAGAGAGAGAGAGGGAGAGAGAGAGAGAGGGAGAGAGAGAAAATGACCGAGCGAGTGGGAGAGTGGGAGAGAGCGAGAGAGTGACAGACAGTGAGAGTGGGAGAAGAAGAGTGACGTAGAGAGGAGAAGGTGGGTAGAATAGAGAAGTTACATATATTAGATGTAAAAGAGAAAGAGAGAGTGTAGTGGGAGCGAGAGATTGGAAGAGTGAGAGTAAGAGAGAGAGAGAGAGTGAGAGTGAGAGCGAAAGAGAGAGAGAGAGAGAGAGAGAGTTAGGTATAGTGAGAGGGATAGTGAGAGCGAGAGAGTGCGATAGTGAGCGCGAGAGAGAAAAGAGTGTGAGTGACAGAGAGAGAGAGGAGAAAGGTGGGTAAAATAGACAAGTTGAAAAAATGTCTTTATAGAGCAAAATGCAATGCTACAGGACAATACACTTACAAGGGCAGATAGCGAGAGAAAGTGAGAAAGAGAGAGAGAGAGAGAGAGTGCGAGAAATAAATTGTAGGCCACGCAGTGCAATCGAAGACACGGGTTTCTTCTTTGTTTCCGCTAAGAACCTCGCAGAACTTTGTAAAGGAGTTCCCTAAGGACAGGTATTCCTGTTAATATATATATGAATATAAGTATATGTTTATATTCCGGTTAATATATTATTAACAGCTGAAAAATAAGGATAATACACTTACAAATTTGGAACATTCAACACATTTGTAACGCCCTCTCATAGTTGATGAGCTTTTCCCGTTTTCTGCTTCTCGCACATGCGAATAGGGTTGCCACCATGCAAATGAAAGTCAGTGTTGTTTAAGCTATTGTGAAAATATTGTTTTATTTTTATGTTAAAATTCTCTGGTACTTTATATATTTTTGAAATATGCATACATGTTTTGAAATCCCCTTTGATACATAATGAGTTTATAATTATAATAAATTCAATGAGGGATTCTTTGAACTTTAATGACATTTTTAATAGATTTTTAAATGGTCTTTTTTGTCTTTTCTTTTTGTATTTATATCTTTTGTTTTGTTTTAAGGAAGTTCAAGAACTTTAAAGAGTTTATCAAGTGCGGCTGTTGAAACAAAATACATTATATCGTTCATTTTTGAAATGTACTAATTTCATACAGAATAAGTAATAGTAGGTAATGCCCATGGCATTATGCCCTAAGTGGGCTAACGGTTCATCCAGATATTCACGGTATTCTCTGGATCTACGGCTTATATAAAAACTTTTATCGAGGTTTCTAGTGGCAAAGCTTTTTTCGACTGGCTCTGGATTATATTGTTGACAATGTTTACCATTCAAATATATGTCATATGTCGGTCTCTTTACATTTTCAAGGGATCTATCTAAGAACTGAAACAGTTTAATACCGACACGCATCATTTTACAAATGAGCGTGACGTAACGTCCTCAAGGTAAATCATTTGAAAAATGTTTTTATTTATTTTTTATTAATAAGTTTTTAAAGCCAATTTTGCGTTTTCTTATTAAGAGTGTATAAATGGAAATTGGTATTTGTTTGGTATTTTATTTGTTGGTATTTAGTAGTATCTTTAAAGCGCTTTATCTTTGGATAGTATTTATTAGTTTTCTGGATTCTATTTAAATTTTTCGATTTATCATCTTAAAAATACCCATTATTTAGATTTATGAATTCCTATGAATTCTTTGTTTTTTTTTTTTTAAATTTTATTTTGTTTATATTTAATGCATAAATATACTATATATGTTTGCATATTGGTCAGATATTGTGGCATTCGAATTGTACATTCAGTTAAGATCATTGTTTATTGTTTCTGCTTCATTTCATACCCCTGCAGTAGATAGTTTGTTGGGGAGCCGAGGAACCGCGCATTATCTATTTCAAAGGTGTTTAAACACATTAAATACTAAAAAGAAGTTATAGCAGGAGAGAACCATTTCAAAAGACTTTAAATACATTAAATACTAGAAGGTTTTATCATATAAGAAACTAGAAAGCAATCATTTGAAACGATTTTAAAGACATTTAACACTAAACATAAACAACTAAGAAACTTGGAAGGAAACATTTTGAAAGACTTTAAAAATATGATATACAAAATATATGGCCGTATTTTAAAGAGGTTATATCATTTGAGGAACCATTTTAATAGGCTTTAAATACATTAAATACTTAATAGAAGGCTTTAATTGGAAGAAGTTGTATTATGTGGTAAACCAGGAAGAACCGTTTTTCAGATTTAAAATACTTTAAATACTAAATTGAAGGCTATAATTTAAAGGTGTTTTAAAATACTGTAAATACTATAATTACTAAATATGTGGGTATAATTTGAAGAAGTTTTATTAGAAAAGGAACCAGGAAGGAAGCATTAAAAAGGCTTTTAAGACATGAAATAAGTAGTAAAAAGAAGGCTATAATTTCAAATACTAAATACTAAATATATGACTTTAATTTAAAGAATTTACATCATATAAGCAACCAGACAGAAAGTATTTTCAAAGATTTTATACACAATATATGGCTATAATTTGAGAAAGTTATATTTCGGACTAAATCTTAAATAAGCAAGGGAAATAAACATTGGCTTTTTTTTGCAAATCTTCTTAAATCGGAATGCCTGGAAACCATTGAAATTTTAATATTGATTTTCCTCGGGAAATATCATCCATATATATATATATATATATATAGAGCTTGTTCTCTTCAGATCCATATACCCTATATGAACTGCAGGGGCATTTTATACGACATAGCCGTAAATGAGTTTTATCCTTCAGTTTTTAAAATACTTTTCTTGGTTATTCATATAATAGAGAATGCTTGTTTACGTTTGAGCCTCATTCTCGAGGCCTTTATCCCTTCTTTTTTGTTGTTGTTGTTGTTGTTGTCATTTTTATTATTACATATTGCAATTAATATTGATTTGTTGTGTTTTCATAACGTGTTTATTATTTACAGTTGTGTGAGGCAAACAAAAAATTGTCACAGCCGTACTCCTTATATATATATATATCGTATATTGCCGTTAGTTGTGGCGTTTACTGTAGCTATCGATAATTTCTTGAATCTTATCATTTTGTTAATAACACTTTTTGCTTTGTATTTGCTTAATTATGTGGTTTGTTTATTGGATGCTTGTTTAGTTAGACGTTTGCTTTGGCTGGTCCTGCAATATGCCTAGAAATCAAAGAAAGTTGACCTATTTATATCGAAAGAGACGCTTCAAATGCTTAAGTTCTACAATTCGGAGAGAAATGAAAACGAAACTCAACTCTAGGTAGAGGTTTTTCTTTTTTTTTTTTTTTCGTTTTAGAAATTTTATGCAGCTATTAAAATTGTGTTATTAAGGATTTAAGTTATAGTTTCTTGTTTATTAAAATACTTTTACTGAGTTTTATTAAAGATTTTGATTAGTTGTTAAAGTTTGTTATTGGCTGGCAAACGAAATAAAAACTTCTTTATTTTTGAGGTTAGTTTTTCGTTTTTAAGGTTAGGGTTTCTTAAAGATGTTATCTGTGTATACTATTTGAGAGTTCTTTTGATGCTTGCGAAGCCAGTTGATATGGCCTTTGATTTCGAATCAATAGAATGATGTGTGCGATTGTGTGTGTCTGTCTGCCTGTGTGTGTGTGTGTGTGTGTGTGTGTGTTTGGATCGTGTTTAACCTACAATAAAATTAGCACCAATGCAAAATATATACGATTTTGGGCATATATACTATAACTATATAAGTGTATGTGTGTGTGTGTGTGTGTGTGTGTGTGTGTCATATGATATGTGTAATTTACTACAGTTATTAAATTGCAATTACAAGATCTTAAGATCTAAATCAAGAATGAAAAAAAGAAAAGAAGAGCTTGGAAAAACAAATTGTCACTAGGTGTTTGAACTGGGGGCGAGATTTGTTGGGCTATATATGTATATATATATTATATATATATATATTAAAAAGTGCGTGTACATTGGCTGAATGCACATTTTAGTTCATACTATATCATTAATTATCTATTCTCGTACTTGATTCATTTAGCTAAACACTAATTAACAAGTTTTTGATCCGAATTATATAAAGCTAGGCAGCTATACGCGTATGTACAAATTGAGTATAAACTCGTATATATGTATATATATATATATATTTTTTTTTAATATCTGCTATATTCTATATAGACTTAGGAGCTAGTTAAAGACTGTCTTTACGTTCGCTTCATGAGTGTGATTTGGTTTGTTTTTTTTTTTTTTTTTTGGTTTTTTAAAGTATCTTTCTAGTATTTTTATGTGTGCCGACTCTACCAAATCTGAAGTCGGTTGGCTTGGACTGTATTAAATATATATGTTTTATATGCTTGCTTTATTGTACCTACATAAGACTAGGGACATACATATATAACTTGAGAACCTATGTTTTGTTCTGTATTACTCCAAATCATATAATTTATATAAATATATATATATGTATATACATATATCCATACATATATACATGCATCTTTTTTATTTGAAATCTTTTGAATGCACCTATATAAATCTTGTAAGTTGCAGTTATTACATTGTAATAAGTATCCATTTGGGGTTTAGCTTTTTTGGGTGCTGGGCTCCGTGGTATAGTTAACAAAAACCAACTTTCCCACTATCTACTTAAGATCTGGGTGGCGAGTTGGGGGGTAGGGGGGGGGGGGCTGACTTATTGCTAAACGCCGTTACTCAAGCGATTTCTGCTCAAGTTATAAATTGAGAAAACTGTTGCCCAGAAAGCTGAACATTATGGTGGACACGGCCAAGGGTGCGACCTGCACTTGGCAGGCGGTGCTATTCCCGGCCAGAATCTCGGCACGTTTACGCATACGTTCCTGAAAGTATAAGAATTATATTATCCATAATATCTATATGAACTGATGGGTGTATAATAGTATATCTAGTGTATCTAGTATCTATATTTACGATTTTTATGGCAGCTTAAGTATCTAGAGTATTCGAAGTACTAAAGTACTTATTGTATCTATTAATCTATCTATCTCTGTCATTTCTATTATATCCGTAGTATCGACTTTGTTTATAGCTTCCATAGTATCTAACGTTTTTATACTATTTATAGAATACATCTTTCCCATTATTGTCAATTGTCTATTGTATCTACAGCGTCTATTGTATCTATAGTATTTATTGTACCTGCTGTAATTATAGTTGCTATGTTATCCCTAGTTTTTATATCTATATTAACTGCTGCTCTAATACCTATAGTATCTGTCGCATCTATAGACAGTCCAATAAGATCGATTGTATTTTATTACCAAAATTTTTTTGAATAAAAATATTCGCTGATTCTTCTATCAGTGGTAGTATAGTTTATCGTTAATCCGTGGTATTTAAATCAATTTACCTAAGTATCTATAATACCAATTTTATTTCTATTTATTTCTATAGTATCTACAGTATCAATAATATCTTTTGTATCTATAAAATAAGTATTTGAAGTATTTACATGATAAATCCTATCTATTGTATCCATAACATAAGTATCTACAGTATCAAAATTATGGCTTGTATCTGTAAGATAAATATCTAAAGTATTTACGTTGTGAATATTATCTATTGTATGTATAAGATAAGTATCTAAAGTACCTGCTGTATGAATACTACCTATTGTATTTATAACAAGAGTAGCTACAGTTACAATATTATCTATTGTATCTATAACACAAGTATCTCAGGTTTCTTTATTATCTATTGTATCTAAAGCATCTTTGGCATCTATGCTACCTTTAAAATTCGTAGTATATGTATATAGTGTATTTATCTATATTACATATAGCGTTAAATACCATTTGACTTACCTGATAAAGCTTGTCCTCGCCAGGCGGATCCAGGCACTCGAATTCGCAGCAACGTTCGCCTACTCTGAAGTTTTTACAGAACTGAAAACGAAATTAAAGATAATATTTGGATCTGTTTAATTGAAGGCATTTTCGAATCACTCACGTAGGGCGGATCACAGTAAATGGCCTTGCACCACAGCGGCTCGGAATGATAGCAAACGCATAGACTACAAACACCAGGTCCGGGCACATAGAGCATGCCATGGTTCACCTTGTTACCCTGAAAGTCCACGCAGTCCTCCTCCAGCGCAACTGTTGAGGCAGACACACACACAGAGAGAGAAAGTGAGAGTGAGCGAGACCGAGAGAGTTATAAAGATAGAGAGAGAGAGAGAGAGAGAGAGAAGGAGAGAGAGAGAATGAGAGAGTGGTCTTTAATTCATATGTGAGATTGATATTGCATAGCCTTAAACGTAAGATGTTGAAAAAGTTTAACGCTAGCTTTGTGAATTCCAGTCCCTAGTGTGGAAAATGGGTGAAAAATGTATTGAATGATTTTAGTAATTCAATAATTTAATAATCAATCAACATGGTTAATGATTGCAAATGTTTCACACTTGTTTCGAGAATTCAGACAGAATGTGTGGAATATGGGTGAAATTCCTCTACCCTTGTAGAGGGTATTATAGCTTTGTCATGAAATGTGTAACGCATTGAAGGAGACCTCTCCGACCCCATAAACTATATATGTACATATATATTCTATATCAGCATAAACAGCCGAGCTGATATAGCAATGCTCATGTCTGTCCTTTCGTCTGTCCGTCTGTTTATTTGACCGTCTGTTTATCTGTCCGCCTGTTTCTATGCGAACTAGTCTCCCAGCTAAAAAGCTATCGTCTTGAAACTTTACATAGTTCCGTTTTTCGGTTGCAGTCAGTACATATGTCGGAACGGGCCGGATCGGACTACTATATCGTATAGCTGCCATAGGGACTATCGGCCGAAAAATATTCGGTGTTCCAAGATATTTGTATCAAACTTAGCATAACGAGCTTCACTATACTCACATATCTGCAAAAGGGGAATTGTGTACAAGGGCACGCCGAAGATAATCAGCTTCAGCTTCAGCTTCTCGTTTTTTTTTTGCTTTCAATTTGTTGAAACTGTTTTCAGTAGGCGTCGAAATACGCATCAATCAAAATATGAGGAAGCAGAAAGCATCGAAAATTCTATTTAGTTTGTTCAAGTGCCTAAAGCGGAGCACTTCCTTTTGAAATTAAATTAAGTAAAAAGTTGCGAATGAAAAATTGAAGTGAAATCAAATAACTAAATCACACTCTTTGGACTGGTAAAGTTAATGCAAATGAAATATGAAAGATAGTCAAATCTCTGCGTATATAAATGCCAGGCTACACTTCTTGAAGCTGTAAGTTAGATCTGCGGGGAATGATATCATAGACAAGATTTTTCTTTTGATTTGCTTATTTTCATTTTATTTTGCGTTGATAAAGAATTGTTTAATGCTAACTTGAGCCCAACACATATTTTAGTTAAAACAGATAAAAAAGATGAAGTATGTAATTTAAATATTTAGCATAAGAAACTAGACATATAAAAATTGTAAGCAGCACGTTCTGGCCGAGTGAAGCTTGTTTTTGAATATTTTAAATAATATTTTAAAATGAGAAATAACTCTAATATGAAATGACAAATTGGGTAAGCCCTTTCGACAACATTCAAGACTAACTACAATTTGGGATTAATTATAAAACAACAAATGCTATGCGCCGAAAGAAAATGAAGAGTTCTTTTCAAACCTAGAACTTATGTAAGTCTATTAATAAATAAATGGGACCTTTTTAATTGGAGCAGCTATTGCAGCTACATTGATGCAGATTTGTGGCGACGTGTCGTAGGGCAGCTTTTCGGTCAGCAGCTTTCAACATTGTGGTCAAAGGTCGTGAAGGTTGGGACAGGCGAGCAGCAGCCATGGCACAGCGTTGCCGCCGACCATTCTCCATCACTAAAAGCTGGGTAAGCGTGGGAAGGGAGCTGAGGTAGGGCACTGGCGGCGCCAGCTCCTGGCATCTGGCGATCGATGATCGCATCGTAGAACAGCAGCTGCAATCCCAGTGTGCGCACTCTGCAGATCCATCTGTGCACTGAGAGAAACGCATGCTTGCACCTCAAAATGCTGCAGTTGTTGCGACTTGTGCTCGGCCAGCCATGTGAGCGACCTTTTCACAGCTGCCCAGGGCATATTTTAATATATACATCTTCATACTTAAAGATTATTGTGGATAGACGCGCTCCGGGAGCTCGAACCTACAGCAGTTTGTCGCAAGTGAAAAGAAACCTTCGCGACATACTGAAGCCTCAGCTTCAAGATGCGACAGCGCTTTACACTATTTCGGCCAGTAAATGGCATCAGCAGGTATATACTGAACAAGCATATATATATATATACATATATATCTTAATCTGAACCACTTCATTTAGCAATCGAGCAATGCTGAAGCCCAGTAACTTGCACGGGGTGCAAGCGCCTTGGACGTTAAAGCTTGTTTATTTCCAAGTAGTTGCCCACAAGGTAAGTTTCTTTCAGCTAGATAAGTTAAGCTAGTTAGCTAAGTACAATATTCGGCGAGCCGAAGATAAAATACTCTAATGGCTTGAAAATACTTTTATGCGAAAGCTTCAAATAAATAATCCGATTTGATACGGCTTTGCAGCTTGATTAGAAAAATAATAGAGCTCCTAGTTCTCGAGTTTGGTCAAGATAACTTATAAAGAAAAGACAACCGATGCATTCTACAGGATATGAAAATAGTATAAAAAAGCAACTGATACTTCCTATAGAATATGAAAGTATTATAAGAAAAAACCAACGATAGTTCCTATAGGATAATAAAATATATAAAATAAATGTATTGATAAGATTTTGTCCGTATGTAGGAATAGGCAGACGAAAAAACTCGACTATTTATTTGTAAATGTTTGAAAATCAAAGTTTGGTAAAATATCTAAGAAAACAAACTTATCTTTCGACTGATTGATAAAGACGGATATGTAAGGGGTAACCGATTTTTCCTAGCTATACGTTTTCTATTAGAATTATGAAGCGCTTCCCACGGGCTTAATAAAATTGAGTAGATGGAAAAAGATGACTGAAGCCCTATTTGCAGCTTGATATAATCTATAAAAGACTGATCTAAAAATAATAATAATAATAGACCTATTATCTAAGAATAATTATATTTTCATATAATCTATAAAAGACTTTAATTTCGTGATCATATCTATATTAGACTTGTCTTAACATAATTTCCTGATATAATCTATAATAAACCTATCTTAAAATAATATCATTTCCTGATTATAATCTATAAAAAACATATCCAAAAATAATATCAATTTCTTACAGAGACTACAAACGACTGCAGACTGTGCTGCTGCTTCCACTTGCTGACCCAAATGTGAAAAGCGCTGTTGCATCTTGAAGGGCTAAGAAAAAATGTATAGATAGTTGAATCCATCCCCCCCGCCCCTACCTTCCACCCCATCAGGAGCAGAACTCGACAAGCAGCCAAAACCCAACCGTATTTAAAGTATGACGACAATTTGGGCATTTTGACCGCTTGCCTCGTCGAGCACATGTGGCAATGAGTGCAGCATTTTGAGGGCCAACCATACGATTCTCTCAATGTTCAGATGGTTCGGCAGATTGCGCACACTGGCGTCGCCGCTGCAGTTCGACGACGCTATGGCCGATCGATCGAGATGGAGGAGTCTGGAGGAGTCTGCTGGAGGGTAAATGCTTCAAATGGATGGATTCAATCTGCCATGTTGATCCGTGAAGAAATGCCATCCGAAATGCTGTGCCTCGACTGCTGCTCGTCTGTCCAGACCGACACGTCCTATGACTGGAATGTTGCAGGCTGCTTACCGAACAGCTGCTCCACGACGCTTTCTATAGGTCTACTACGTCATGCCCTGTTCTCCAGTGGAGGGGAAAAATGCGAGACAAAATGCTGTTCAGCCTGTTTAAATTGCGCTCCAATAAAATTCGATTAGGCGTAAAATATATTTGACTTTTTTTATCCCATATTCTCGCTTGACTTCTCTTCGCGCTTACGTTCTTACTCTTATACTCGCTCTTAAGTTTATCCCGAGATATTTAACGAAAAGCATCAAAAAAGTTTTGATTTTCGAACCGACCCCGATTTTAGGATTTTCATTTTGTTAATGCCAATCGATAGTACTGATTCTTACGAGTCCAAGCTGGTATAAAATTTCAAAATCGGACATTTGGCCGAGATATTCCGAAAAATCTTCAAAAAAGGTTGACTTTAGAAACGAATTGTTTTTTGGTCAACAACTTTTTTAACCCAACGATTTTTAATTTGTTTGAATACGAATTCAGAAATGTATAACATTTCAAAATCAGACGATATTTACCCGAGATTTTAAAAAAAATCATCAAAAAAGTTTTGATTTTCGAACCGACCCCGATTGTAGGAAAAAATGTGATGTAACCCCTTGATTTTTTGGCGATTAGGGTCAAAATTTAGATTTTCTTTTTGTGAATGCCAATCGATAGTACTGACCCTTACGAGTCCAAACTGGCATAAAATTTCAAAATCGGACATTATTTGGCCGAGATATTCCAAAAATACATCAAAAAGCGTTGACTTTACGAACGAATCGTTGTTTGGTCAACAACTTTTTTAAACCAACGATTTTTAATTTATTTGAATGCCAATTGTTGACTTTTACTCGCGCATATCTTTTGCAAGTTGATTATTACTCGCTATCCACTTATACTCGCACTTGAGCTTATTCACTTTGATCCTCAACTCGCTTCTTCTACTTGCGTTTGAATTTCACAACTTATTTTTCTTTTTATACCCTTAACCCATTAAAAATAGGTAAAAAGGGTATAATGTATTTCTGCAAATGTATGTAACAGGCAGAAGAAAGCATCTCCGATCCCATAAAGTATATATATTCTTGTTCAGCATCAACATCCGAGTCGATCTAGCCATGTCCGTCTGTCTGTCCATCCGTCCGTCTGTCCGTACGTCCGTCTGTCCGTATGTATGAACGCAAGGATCTCAGAACCTATAAGAGCTAGAGACTTTTAGCGCAGATCGAGTTTGTTTCCGATATTCGATAACTTGCCCCGTTTCCAAGTAATCGATAAAAATCGATATCGAAATCCTGTTTTTGGGCAATTTCGGGAAATAATATGAACTAGAGTCACCAAACTTGACATGTAGCTTCTAGAACAGTATATATGTACATATATA